TTACAGTTTGACCATACTGCAGTGTGTCCCCGTCACAATTACACACCGGCGCAATGTGAAGGACACAACTACATCTTTACAATCCTTTCGTAGTTGGTGTATATATCGAGAAAGGAGTGAATGGGTATTTCTCACATACATATTTAGATAGATATAATGCTAAAGCATATGTGCATAGTAATGTAAACTTTATAACGATAATTATACGTGCAAAATTAGTCAGTGTCGACATGAACCAACTTCACAACCTTACACTTTCAAGTGATGACGTAGATGCTGCGCTGTCTGTACTCTGTGTAGCTACGTAGCTGTACGCTATGTAGCTCTGTGGTCATTAGAAGCAGTGTAGTGACAAAAGAACAGGCTCTGTCGGTACTTGCGCGAGAGAAACTATTCTCTTTAAACTGTTATTACTCACCGTTACGTTCATTTACACTGGACGATATTGTTTTTAAACTTAAAAATACATTTAAATTATTTTTTCTTGAGCTGACTTTTTATTTGTAGAATTTAACATGAATATAATATGAACTGACTGTAATTATTCAGTATCATGTTTTGGATGTGGTTAAAATGAGTCAGGCTGCAGCTGTATTCTACTTGGCTGTATTGTAGCTGGGCCAGGGCACTCCAGTGACAACTACTTCCACTTGACCACTGGAAGTGGTTTGAATCTTCGACGACGGTGTTCTTTCTGATCGGCTCGATTCGTTGGCGCTGCGCAGGGATGTTGCATCCCTTTGCACTTTCTATCGCACCTACCACGGGGACTGCTCTGCGGAATTATTCGAATTAATTCCAGCCAAATTTCACGAACACACATCGCGTCAAATTTACAATACCATCCTCACCATCTGGATGCTTGGCGGTCCACCGCTGTTCGATTGCTTCTCTGTGGGATTGCTTACCACTGGTGATTTTTCCGGACCGATACGACTTAGGGACCTTCAAGAAAAGAGCTTTCTTTCTTAAATGCCGGCAACGCACATGCTATTCCCCCGGTGTTACGGTTGTTCATTGGCGGTAGTCACTTACCATCAGCTGAGCTCGTTTGCGCCCTCTTCTATAAAAAAATCATATTTTTAACACGATTGGCTGGACTGTGAAAGGACCATGCTCAGCGGAAAATAGCAGCTTAATGCTGTATTTCATATTGTGAGTGTAACGAATATATTTTACTAGACTATAATGATTTCTTATATTTACGCGAACACTATACATTGATTAAAACTACTTTTACGGATTTTATTTTTTACTTGACTATTTACGAGACTATTTTTACTAGAAACGAGGCATTCCATCTCAGCCTTCAAGGGTGACAACGCATCTGCATTTTGATTCTTTATCAAGGATACGTGATGATACCGCAGCATCCACTTAACATGAGGTGGACTGTATGCTCGTTTGTCACCCTTATTCCATAAAAAATGAACTTTTATAAATTGTGTTAAAACTCGATACAATCTTTTTTATGCTTATTTCTTGGTTTTTATATTTTAAATTTGTTGTTACTATAACGACTGCATGGCCTAGTGTCTTAGTGTCCCTCACACTCCCAGGCCATTAATTTGTTTATGTAAAAGCGAAATTAGTAGGCTTTCTGGTTTGGTTTTGTTGTTGTCGCGGCTTATACGGTAAAAGTGTGTGAGTGAAGAAACCGTATGTTAAATCGAATAGGCGTAGGTTAGGACCATTATGTAACTATGTTAGAGTGAACATTTGTGAACATAAAGATATTAATAGTTACTTTGCAACCATCCGCTCAATTGACTAAAGTGATGTGTCTTACCTAGTTTGAAGAGCACCTCCCGCCCTCCCTTAATTGCGTGCACTAATCCCGTCACCACTAATCCCAGCACCACTACTCCCAACACTACTATTTTAGGAAAGACACACCAACAACGATAATACAAGTGTTTCGCTTCTCTCACACGAGGCATCTTCAGGTGATGTAGACTCTACCGCGGCTGACCGCTCGCCTACTAGTGGTGTTAGAAGTAGTGGTGTTGGGAGTAGTAGTGCTGGGATTAGTGGGGACGGGATTAGTGCACGTAATTGAGGGAGGGCGGTAGGTACTCTTCAAACTAGGTAAGACATAATATAATTTTAGTTAATTGAGCGGACGGTTGTAAAGTAACTATTAATATCTTTATTATAATGAATTTCCGCAAAGTAATGCCTGATTCTATCAATTAGCGCTAAAATATGACCTGCGCTGCGCAGTAGTATAATAAGTCTATGCCTGCGCAGTGGATAGCTTGTAAAAGTATTCGGAAGACGTCACTGTAGTTACTATCGCTCGGAATATAATATCTTTGCTTTGAAAGTATGCTATATAATATAGTATCGTATACTTAGGTTTGAGAGCCTTTCAAGCGTGATGAGTTAGGCAAATTCTCCCCTCACTACTATGGGAAAAATTCAAGTTCAACTGTGGACTTTTGCGGGTTTGTAGTTATGATAACTATAGAGACTTTTATCATCATCAACAATGGTGGAGATTATTATCATCATATCAATTGTTTGCTTAGCGGGAATATTGATAAGAGCAGAATTTTCATGTGTCGTCATCTATGGGATCTTCTTGGCGTTTCATATAGTTGACTTTTATGAAACTTTCGGGATCCATTCCTCTCCCGTTTCCCATCCATTCCCCATCTCGGGTTATGATAGAATAAAGTTATCAGGTTGCTCTGATATAATGGTTTTTTTCTACTATTAAGTCGATTCTTCGTTTTTTCAATAAATATTGAATTCAGGTATATATTTTGCATAATTTTTTAATTTTTATTTATACAAAACGGCAATTTTAAAAGTAATGTTTTTATAGTTCCATGAGGCATATTGCTAAAAAAAAAGTTATCAATTATTTAACATCGACTTATTATCAGTGAATTATAGAATTATCTGCATGTCTTTGAATGTTAAGCCATAAGTATTTATAAATATCTTATCTACACGCATTAGTTTTTTAATATAATAAATATATTTAAATGTACAAAAGTTAAATATATTTTAATTTAAATAGAGATTTGAGAGTGAATTATTGAGGCTCGTAAATTAATGTACGGCTTTAGTGATGTCGGCAGTGGATGCAATTACCCAATATTCATTCTAGGCAAGTATTTAAATAAGCTATTAACAATTGTGTAGGTTTGTTTGTATGAGTGCAGTTTACTCTTGTGAACCGTCTTTAACACTTTTGATGAAAAAATTTATCGAGCGGAGGCTCAATGAAGGAAGCATAAATAAGCATGCTTTTCAACTCGGGCATCATCAATTTCAATTCTTTGCAAAAAAAAAAAATTGGCTATGTCCCAAATACATAAAATGTAAATGTGAATTAAGATATGAGTAAGAAGACTGGCAGTAACAAAAACAGATACGTAAAACCTAAAATCGATCGGGTTAGGACCACAGCAGACCACAGATGAATAAAGGTCTTATTCATCTGTGGACTGACGCAGTCTTAATAATCATGATGTGTTTTTATAACTTTCCTTATGCTTGTTGAGAAGCAAAGGTTACGGGTGCGGACTGAAAATTCTGAAAGTCATGAGTTCGAATCCGTCATTTGACTGCAGTCGTGAACCATTTCTAACACAAGCAGTTTATAGTTAAGGGAGAATTAATAATATTAACAGTTATTAATATTAAAAAAATATTTTGACGTGACTCGACTTAGGGTTTCTTCAAGAAAAGAGCCTACTGCTTTTTAAAAGGCCAGCAACGCATCTGCAGTTCCCCTGGTGTAGCAGAGGTTCATGAGCAGCGGTAACCACTTACCATCAGGTGAACCGTATGCTCGTTGGCCCCCTCTCCTATAAAAAAACATATTGTAAACAGGACCCCAGATTTTCATATAATTTCCCGGATAATAGATTATCTGTTAAATAGGTGAAACATAATGGTATGGCATTATATGCGGATTGGTCACGGGTATTTCAATGGTTGTTTTTTCAGTCTGTAGCTACATGAATAAGACGGTATGATCACGTTCTCTGGGAATGCCATTTGTATGAGGAACTTAGAAACGCATTCCTGGACGACCTGCCACTACCAATCAGACAGTTACACATTGGAAAGTTAGTGTATTATTACATCAGATGAGGAAACTGTATGACCGCAAATACGATAAGTGTGAACTCACGACTTAGAAAAGGAGAGGTGGTTAATAGTAGGGAATCGATTAGTCACATAATATGGGAAAGAACAACGAGCAAGTAAAGGATGACTCACGCTAGACCGTAACGAGTCCAAGCCATGTGTCGGCCGTAGTACGGTCAACTAATATTACATATATTTTATGTAGACACACTCACGCTACACCGAGCGGCAACCGAGTGACGGTCGAGCAACGGACAACGCTCGGCAACAACTCGGTCTCGGCTTGTAGCTGAAGATTTATCAGATTCCACATTGTCCAGAGAGATCGCAATAGCCGCTAATTCCAGATCGTCAAACTTCAACATGATTGTAGTCTATTTATAACACTATTTTTGCTCGGACGAGTACACTGCATCACGGCGCAACGGTAATTGCTCGGTCGAGGCCCGTCTTTGTAATTTCAGGCACGGGACCGGCTCGGTGACCGTGCTACGGCCGACACTCGGCTCGGACCCGACTCGGTCTAGCGTGAGTCAACCATAAATGCTTTAGCTGGTATACCTCATTACAGGGTTCACTGTATTGAGAAGGATTTCCATTGCTATTTCTTATCTTCCTCTTTATCAGCTAATGACAGTCACCTACTGGACACGTATGTTTAGAGCATGGTTTCTTTTGTGTGTGACTGTTTACTTTGTAATCATAAAAAAGAGGTAATTTAATGAGATTATTACGCGTAAATGTAAATTTACAGAATGTATTCTTTCTGATCTTATCGTTACCGTATCGTTGGATCTAAAAACCGTAGCCTTTAATAATAATTGTGACCGCGCCGAATTATGACATAAACAACGCCATTCGTTCGCAGTCGGTGCTTGACCGTCGGCTAAGAGTGTTGCAAGTGAGTCCTTTCTAATTATCTATTCGTATCGCGTTGTGTAACTTTGTAGTGATTTTATAAAAAATATATATATAATAAAATAATTCTGCAAAAACATACGACATTTTACACAATAATTACTGTGGATAGTTCTGGTAAAAATAAAAATGTCTTGTAAATTGTGATACATATGTGAAAGTAGTGTTACATTTATATTCTAAGTACTTATATTTTTTTAATTAAGGTTGGAAAGTTCATCGAAACAAGAGTAAGATATTTCCAACATTTGTTAACGGACTTCTAAAAAGGAGGAGGTTCTCAATTCGGATGTTTATATATTATTAAGTACCTATGTTCGGGCATAACTCCGTCATAATATATATATATATATATATATATATATATATATATATTATATATATATATATTCTTATTTCGTTCGAAAGAGGTTTATCCGAAATGGTCCCATTTAATTTTCGTAAAGATCTGTTGATGAGTTCTGGAGACAGACAACGGAACTCTTCAATAAATGCCAGGGAATCAACCGCGTTTGCTGCTATCACATATCTATACATTGTTTATGCGTTTACCACGGTAATTTTATAGATAATATTACCGTGCCCTTACCCTCTAAACGGGTACGCAGATGTGTTCGGATATCACAGTACATCCTCATTTCTGTCAAAGTTGTTATTGAAGTAATTTTTATTGCCTTGATCATGGAAGTAAATTTGGGCATAACTTTTTTGTTTATGTTTATGAATTGATTTCATTTATTAGTTAATTGGAATCGATTTAAAATTTTTTGTTTTATTTCATAAAATATCGTTGTATTTGTGGTTAAAAGCCATTTTATACATCATATTAACTGTTAGGACTCAGTTGACTAGCAGTCTATCGGGTAGGTGTAGTAGGTACCACTACATATAGTGGTAGTTACCATTCTTGCAGATATGTGCGGCTAAATAACAACTCTCGCACTGCTGTACGCTCTGAAGTGAATTCCTCGTTCCCAGTAAAAAGGGTCTCTGGTTCTCTACACTCCCCATACGAAACACGGCAGCATTACGCTACTATTTTACGCTGGTATACTGTGAGAGCGTGGTCCTTGCCCCGGTCGAGCCGCCCCATTCATCCTACAACCATAATATAGCTGCAGCTCGTTTGAAGTTGGCTCCGGATGTCCACGGGCTGCAGTGACCGCTTGACATCAAGTGAACCGTCAGTTCGTGTGTCACTTAAGTTTAATAAAAAAAAAAAACACATTTATTAATTATTTTGCCACTATTTAGTGACTCTTTTTAGTGTTTACATAAGGAACTCGTATAATATTTCTAAATAATAATAATAATAATAATATTCCACAACTATCACACAACGCCATCTAGTCCCAAGCTAAGCAGAGCTTGTGTTATGGGTACTAGATAACTGATAAACATACTTATATATTTCTAAATACATAAATATTATAGATAAATTACACCCAGACACAGAACAAATGATCGTGCTTATCACACAAACATTTGTCCTGGGTGGGAATCGAACCCACGACCTGCGGCATAGCAGTCAGGGTCACTAACCACTAGACCAACAGCTCAATGCGGCTGTGTTTCGTATGGTGAGTGTTAAAACCTGGAGACCCTTTTCACTGGATACATGACATTTCATCTTAGTTCTCACGGGTGACAACGCATCTGCATTTTGATTCTTAATCGAGGATAGATGTAGACGAGTCTGTACCACAGCATCCATTTACCAACAGGTGGGCTGTGTGCTCGCTTGTCACCCCTTATTTTATGAAAAAATCATCTTGGTCGTGAGTCCTAATCTATCACTTCTAATGTTTTAATCGATTTGGGAAAACTTGGTGTATATTATTCTTTCGAACAATCTCATTTACGGGATAAGTAAATACTTTTTTATAGCTTTCTCAGTTAACGTAAATAACTCCCGTTATTTTTTTAACGGTTGTTTAATAACAACTTTAAGTAAGCTTATAATGTTTGTGTTAGAAGTTGTTTAAATTATTACTACAGTAGTTGAAAGGCGGATTCGAACCCATGGCCTTTCAGAATTAACAGTTCGCAGCCTTAAACATCAGGCTACTCTGTCGCGTACATTACAAGTACCCAACAAGATCATGTAATTGTTTTTGATATTCTGTATTTAATGGAGTAATTAATGCGTGACACATCCATGATGCTTTTATATTTAATAGTAACTGATAGATACAGAGTCAATATTTGTTTCCACATGTTTTGCCTTTTGTGGCATGCGTAAAAATTGTTTAAAATAAATATGTTAAAAAACAAATTAAAATTAAAAAATAAAATTAGAAATAATTATTATAATAATTAGAAAACATAACAAAATTAAAAAAAGTTAATTAATAGAAGTATCACGCAAAATCCTGGATCTATAATAATTTACTTAGTTAAACAAAATAAATATCTAAAAATAAAATCAAAATTTTTGGTTAAAGAATTCACTGATACTATATAAGGCGGTATTTATTAGCCACTGCTTTAAACTTTTTTTCATTTGCCTTAATTGCTGTTCACGAATATTTTAACACATTATGAGCCAATTCCTCTGGAATAATGTAGTTTTACAAGATGGCATGAGTAGACGTGTCGGATCTCTTTGTGCCAGAGTGTTATTTTTTCCTGCACGGTAATAAATTGATTAGAATTATTTTTAACGAAAACTCAGATTTCTAATATATGTAAACCAGTTAAAGTGAGAATAATTTTTTTCTTAAACAGGGGTCTACAGCTTTCAAGAGGGCCTACATTACATAGTGCACGAATACATTTCTTCTGACTTAGGAAGGCTTTGTTTGCGTCAGTTGAGTTCCCCCACAAGAGTAGTTAGTCCATATCTTAGGACGGATTCAACGTTCCCGTAGTAAGCAATACGTGCTTCTTGTGGACCTGCTACATTTTGAAGTTTACGTAGTGCATAACAAATTAATTAATTTTTTTGCCATAGACCATTCACTTTATCAGTTTTTAAAATAATCTGTTGACCAGGCAGGCCACTCCTATGTTCGATCTCAAAACGCTCGACAAATATTTTTACGAAATATGATGTAGTTAACTCATTACATCAAAAACGATCCGAGCAATTATAGCAGTTATTAAAAAAACTTCTTTGAAATTGTCAACGATAGCTTTCGAACGTATCAAACAATTTTGATGTAATTGATGGCAACTGGCAATCGACAAGGTATTTTAAGAACAATAATAAAATCTATTATGAAAAAAAAACGATTAGACTATATATTCTATATTATGATTGTAGGACAGGTGGTAGAACTTATTTTCCGTCTATTACTCAATTTGGGTAGGTTCTACCCTCTTGATGCTGTGTTCCGAAGGTTTTGAAGCTCTGAAGGGTTTAGTAGTCCTCAGAGGTGGCAGAACATCTGTGGCCTTCTGTTATTTGAAGTTGTATGTAAGTGTCCATAATTATAATTAAAACAAAAAAATCTAACTTGTAGCCACGATTGATCGATTCGAGCGGGAGAAGGACTACGCTCTTAAAGAATACCAGCGCAAAATGGCAGCATGTGGCCCATAGATATCTACATTGATTAAGAATTAAATTGCAGATGCGTTGCTACCCTTGACACACCATCCACTTACTATCAGGTAGACTGTGTGTTAATTTGGCACACTTATTCTATAAAAAGATACACTGGATTTCGTTTTCTGATCGCTCACTTCTCTTTTTTAGATAGATCATTTAATTATTGACATTTAGATTATGCATTTGCAATGCACTAAAATAAAATTGATTAAATTTACGCTTTGGTTCATGATAACATTTTAGGTTGTGTTAGAAAAACTCATGAGACCGTGCGTTTTTATAAGGCGTGGGTGATATTATCACGTTTTACCTGAGCTTAGCCGCTTTAAAACCAAAACTAGGAGAAGGACAGAGACAAAAACACAAAGTCGTACCTACACTATAACTATTATATTAAGGAAAGAATAGCAAACAAGCTTTGGCTATAATTAGGAACACTTCCAAAAATCTACCTAAAAAATTTAACTACACTACACCATACTAGAATCGACTAAACTATTTACTATAATGTCAACAGTTAAAATGGCGAGCATCGCCCTTTTGACCCTTTATTATTTGATTGAGCGATGAAGAGCTATGTTATCAAAAAGCCATCTATGCAAACAACGCTGTTATTTTGGAGTTATAAGTGACCATATTAACCGGATGACCATATTACCATTACGTACTTTATTTGTAGTTTTTAACATAATAGCAAGGTAAAGGGCGAGCTTAAAGGGTATTGGAGTGTAACACGGGTTCATTTTTAGAATTCTGTATCCAAAGGGAAAAGCGGTGAATTAATGTAACTCTATTGTCTGTCGGTCTAAAAACGAATCGCGAAGTATAGGGAGGTATAGAGAGATCAGAGGCAATAATGTCGTATTATTGACGGTGACGTATCTTTCTAGTTTATATTCTACGTGGTAGAGCCACGCTGCAGCTATTATGGTTGTAGCACGAATGGGTCAGCTCGACCAGGGAAGGACCACGCTCTCACAGAATACCAGTGTAAAATAGCTTAATAGTGTTGTTATAATTTCTTATATTTACGCGAACACTACACGTTTAAATGACACTAGTTTTTACGGATTTTATCGCGTATATTTAACTTTTTTATATTCCGGACGTTTCAAGCACTTTACAGCACCCATGGTCACGGAGGGAACTGACATGTTCAACGTCCAGATGTCATAGTTAACCGCGGTTACCATAGATTAAAATTATTAATTTTTATTCCGATCTACGCAGTATGAACTTATAGTATATTGAAGTCTTGCAGTTGTAAGCTTGGGTTGTGATTTAATTTTATTAGTTATAGGATCCCAAGCAGGTGGTAGCACCCAGCCATCTTATCTATTGAAAGTAGGATGTTTTTTCATTTCAATAACTTCGCAAATCATCTTTGGAAGGAATCGGTGTTCTTTAGCGAGAATTTGTGGTTTATCAAA